TTGCTTAGGGCCTTGCTAAATTGCTGAGGCTGGCCTTGAACTTGTGATCCTCCTATCTCAGTTTCTTAAATTGCTGGGATTACAAGTGTGCACCACTACAACTGGCTCTAATGTCTGTCTTTCTTTTTTTTCTGGTCATTGAACCTAGGTACCAAGCACTGAGCCACATCCGTAGCCCTTTTTTATGTTATTTAGAGACAGGTTTTTCTTTTTTTTGTAATATTTATTTTGCTTTAGTTGTAGTTGGACACCATACTTTATTTTTATGTGGTGCTGAGGATTGAACTCAGCGCCTTAGAGACAGGTTCTTGATAAGTTGTTTAGGGCCTTGCTAAGTTGCTGAGGCTGGCTTTGAACTTGTGGTACTCCTGCCTCAGCCTCCTGAGCTGATGGGATTATATAGGTGTGCGGCCCAGATAGATTCTACATTTCTAATYAGTGCCCAGATGATGCTTGTGATGCCAGTTAGTGGACCAGTCTGAGTGGCAAGAGCATCCCTATGCAGTAGAGCTTTCTGCGGTAACAGAAATGCTTTGCTGTTAACAAAATGCTTTCACAATTTTTAGCTCCTATGAGTTGTACCACAATCCTTGTATAGCTGCTGCAGCTTTGATTAGCCCCATTTCACAGATGAAGAGGCTGAATTCCAGTGAAGTGACTTGGTTCCAGTTTTACACCAGTAAATAATGGGGGACTCAAATATGGATCTACTGATGACTAGTGTTCTTTCCATCGTATATCCTTGCCTTCTAGAAAATACTGTCTTCTCCTGAGCCAGAGTTTTATCTTAGAACTTAGTGAATAGGCTTGCATGATTTGTGTTTGTATGTGTGTGTGCAAGGAGAGTACAAGTGAAGCAGAGTTACACACCTGGGCCAGTTTCTCCCTTCCCACTGGTAGAATCAGTAGTGGGAGCTCCACCTCTGATATTTCATTTGATCACTTAAGGACACAGTGTTCACTAATCCTAGGTCATCTTTTGGGTCCTCACAAGAAGCATGCAAKCCTGAGCAGGTTTTTTGTTTGTTTGTTTGTTTGCTTTTATGGTGCTGAGAATTGAACCCAGGTCTTGTGTATATTAGGCAAGAACTCTACCACTGAGCTACATCCCCAGCCCAAACCTGAGCAGTTTTAAAAGTGGGAGAAAATCTGGAATTGGAGCCAGACACACAAATAAGGGTCTGAGAAAGAACCATGAAGAAGTTGAGCTGACTCACTTGGGTGAAGGGAATACTGAAGGAAGTTTGCATAAACGTATCTGCAAAGAGGATTTTCCAGAGGGTAAAACAAGAGGAGCTAGTTTTGATATTTCAGTAGGAAACTTGAAGGTTATATAACAACAGGTTGAGATCTCACCTTTTAGGAGTAACCTCCTTTTGAAAAGGCAGAGGGGGTGGGTACAGTGCCCTCACCCTTCTGAAGTGGCTCCTTGTTTTGTTTTTTGTTTTTTTTTTTTTTGGTACCAGGGATTGAACCCAGGGATGCTCAACACTGAACCACATCCCTAGCCCCTTTTCATTTTTTATTTTGAGACAGGGTTTTGCTAATTTGCTTAGGGCCTTGCTAAATTGCTAAGACTGATTTTGAACTTGTGATCCTCCTGCCTCAGTGTCCGGAGTCCCTGGGATTACAGATGTGCAACATGGCATCTGGCAGTGGCTCATCCTTTGAGGCCCAACCCTTAATGGCTTCTCCTGTTACTATGACAACAGTAGTCCTTACCTTCTTCAGAGAATCCCAGCTTCCTTCTAGGAGTTTAAAATAGACTGGGCAGGGGAGAGATGGAGGCAAGGCAAGAAATGGTACATTGTATCCTGTTGTAGAATTTCTTTTCTTTTTTGGTACCAGCATTGAACCCAGGGCACTTAAGCACTGAGCCACACCCCAGCCCCTTTTTATTTTTCATTTTGAGACAGAGTCTTGCTAGGTTGCTGAGAGCCTCCCTAAGTTGCCGAGGCTGGCTTTGAACTGTGATCCTTCTGCCTCAGCTTCCTGAGCTGTTGGGATTACAGGTGTGTGGTACCGCGCTCAACCTGTCATAGAATTTCTTATCAGGAGATGCTGGTACTTGGTGATTCAGCTTGACAGGTTGAAGAGGCATTCAGGAAACCAGGTTCTGGAACAGAATCTCATGGCCGGCTGTGCCCTTCTGCCCTGCACAGCACTCAGTTTGCACGTGCCGGCAGGAGGCCCTCCTGCCTGAGTCCTACTGTGTTTGTCCTGTGCTGAAACATGCCTGCTCAGTCATTCCAGGAGCAGAGCAGCGTTAGCTTTCTCTGAAACAAAGTGGGAGAAGTTCCTGGGCATCTGCATGGCCTGGGGCTTATGCTTAACCCTCCAGTGACCTGCAGTCATGAGGGCATTAACTTCACCTCCCCGTGGTGGGAATGACTTTCTTGAAACTGAACAGAAGGATTTGTGTTGGAATCTTCAACTCCCATGGGGTAGAAGGCATGGTGGAGTAAAGAAATCTTGGCTTGTATGCTGCCTTCACCACTGGCCAGCTGCATGACCTTGGGCCTGTTATACTCCACTTGTCCAGCCCTCTATGTCCTCACTTGTCATAAATGTTTAACTGTACGCAGGTTAAGTTGTAAGGGCTGCATGAGGTGGTAGATAGTCAGTAAATCCTAGCCTTTGCCTGTGTGTCTTCACCTCTCAGTGGTGTGGGAAGCATGACCTTGGGTCCCCAGATGACAAATACTGTGGGCAGGACAGACAGTGACCACCTTCTCTTGGAGGGTTCAAAGAAGATTGCACCGCTGGACTTGGTGGGTGTCTCAGGCTGAGCCTGGGGAGGAGGGCCATCTTGGCCCACAGCAGTGGCACATCAGTGTTCTGAGGGTCCTCCTGCCTGCAGAACCCCACCTCTGCCTCCTTTCTCACGACCTGGATTTCCCACTGGACAGCCCCATTGACGGGTCTTCTGTCTCCAAGCCATTGCTGTTTTCTTTGCACTGTGTGCATGTATTCCTTCATATTATATATTTATTTATTTTTTAGTTGTAGTTGGACACAACACCTTTATTTTATTTTATTTTTTTTTAAGAGGGGGGGGGAGAGAGAGAGAGAGAGAGAGAG